CATTTATGATCTCTACAAGAGAGCTGGAGAGGGGTTTTTGGCAAGGGTTTGTAGTGATAGAAAAAGGGTAATGGTTTTAGGTTGGAAGAGGGCAGGTTTATATAGATATCATGAAGAAATTCTTCACTGTGAGCATGGTGAGGTACTGGAACATGTTGGCTAGAGAAGCTGTGGATGCAGGATCTCTGGAAGTGTTCAAGGCCAGGCTGGATGGGGCCCTAAGAAACTTGGTCTAGTGGAAGGTGTCCTTGCCCATGGCAGAGGGACTGGAAACAGAGGATCTTTAAGGTCCTTTCCAGCCCAAAACCACTCCATGATTCTATCACTGTTGTGACAGAGAGCCTTTGTGTGAAAGCAAATGTGGAAATCTCATCCAGCATCAATGTGGGCATTATTTGAAAGAAAGAATACAGAATTGACCTTGGCTTCAGCAGCCAAAAACAGGTGATTTTCCTGGCCTGGATGGACTTCAGACTCCATGGTGTTAAGATTCAGTGTGATTTCAGAAAGGAAAGGAAAGTTGCACAAGACATTAAACTGCAAGGTGTAATCATTTAATTGCTGTGATGCTCTGTTGTACCTACACCTTGCTACAAATTATAGTGTTAGTACAGACACTATTGCAGTATCATTACACTGCCAGTGTAGCTGAAAAAAATTCCACACTTTTCCTTGTAAATTTGTTTCCATGGTGGGTGGCACTTTATAGATTGGTTCATTTTCAGAGAAAGAATATCTGACAACAAACATTTGCCAAAAAATATTCAGTTAATATGGGCAGAGAGTGAAGGTATTCTTTCAAAAGAAGCATTTTTAAAAGAGTGGTGGAAAGAAAGCCCCTTAAATTTGGAGGCTATAAAATTGTCTATGTGCAATGTTTTATAAAAGAAAAGAAAAGAACAAATAAAGGTGGTACTATATATAGGAGTCATCGACTGACTGCAGGGAATTGAATGTGCTGGAGGAACTGCTGCACAGAGAACCGCCTGTGTAATTAAAGAACAGAGCTAATGGGCTCAGAGAAAGCTCCTCTGAGAAACTACTTTCATGAAATATTCTTGACTTTAAGAAAAAATTTTCTCACCAGGCCCCTTCTCCATTAAGTGCAATCTTCAATGAAAAAATTATTTCAATGTAGAAAAATCTGCAATGCTATCTACATAAGAATATGAAACCCACCCACCCCTTAATCCAAATTCCTGTTTCTTACCAGGCTGTCTGTTCAAAAGTTTTGGGAGAAAACTTTCAGGGAAGCCTGCATTTGCCCTGCACTGCCTTATTCATGGATAGGATTATGAGAGACTAAACTTCAATGTCAGGGGATGAGACAACTCCAATATTTGGTCTGGGAATATCACACCTTTTGAGAGAAACAAGACAATTTCTCTTGTGGGAATGGAATAATGATGGAGATTCAGAGTGTATGAATCTCTGTCAATGCACTGGGTGCTGCTGAGATTCTGGAATCCTGAAGTTCTCAGTCTGGAAAGGAAAAAAATAAACATGGTAATAAATAATGTTTGCTTTAACCTTCTTGTGTTTCTATTCTCACCTCTCTACTTTATTCTTGTGGAACTTGACAGCTACACATGTTCAGCATTCATTATACACAAGTCCCCAGAGGAGCCCTTGGCAGCTGAGGGCTTGCTTATCCTTGAAAGAATTAAAATGAAAATTAAGAAACTCTTTCAGCAGGGTCCTACGGACACAAGGATGGAAAGCTGACAACAGGGACTTTTGTTTGTCACTTTACAGGGAAGGTTTCTCTATAGAAAACCCTAAGGGGCAGCAGAATCACACCATTCCTGGCCAGGAATTTCTATAACAGACACAATAGTGCCCCCTTCCCTTCCCTTCCCTTCCCTTCCCTTCCCTTCCCTTCCCTTCCCTTCCCTTCCCTCCGCTTTTATCTCCACTCTTTTCTCATTCTCTTTTGTTTCCCCTTTGTTTTCTATCCCGTTTCCTTGAATTTCTTTTGAAATGGCTTGGAGGCAAAGACATTCAAACAACCAGATCACTCTTCTTTTCCAGACTTGCAGCCCTATTGTTACATTTTAATGACAATAGGTTATTTAATGTTATTTTAGTGCTAGTGAATGTTCCTGAACCAACGTGTTCTTCTGACATGTCTCTTTGCAGAACGTGTAGGACATATTGTTTCTTGCTTTTAAAATGTCTGAGAGCTTTGGCATTTTTTCATAGGGAAGGTTCTAAAAAAATGATGTTTAAAAGTGAGGTTTAAGTCCCTCCTCATCAAACAGATCTCAGTGTGATTTGCTTACAGAAAAGGGGGGATCTGCAGTTAAATTGCTTTCAGAAATGCTTCCCTCAACAGGAAGCTCACACAAAGCAAGGACACAGGGGGTTCCTGGGGTGCCAGTGCACGTGGACAGCTCCAGTCCATCCCCTCACCCACCTGCACCCCCAGGTCCTTCTGGGCAGAGCTGCTCTCAGAGCCTGCACTCCCCAGCCTGGATGGATACCAGGGGTTTGTCCCAACCCAGGTGCAGCAGCAGCAGCTGGTCTTGTTAAACCTGATGAGATTTCCATGAGCCACTTCTCGTGCTTGTCCAGGTCCCTCTGGATGGCCCCATCCTTCAGGTGTGTCAACAGCAGCACTCAGCTTGGTGTCATCTGCAGATTTACACATAGAGCTTCCTGGTCCCTCTAATTATGGGCCTTTGAAATGATGATAATGTAAGGCTATTAGAAACTGAAAAATGGTCCATATGTATAGTTATAGAGCAATTTTCCTCATCACACCCATAAAAAAAGTAATATTTGATGTTGAAGCCAATGAATAAAGTATTACAGAATAGGAATTATTATGTATCCCTATTCAAGAATTATAATTTTATGAGAAAGAGGTCATCTCTAACAAAACTAATTTTCTTCTGCAGAGTTACAGTTTGGTTGATATGGTAACTACCTTGATAAAGTACATTTGTTCTTTAATAAAGTACATTTTTTTTAGGCATTCCTACTATGTGTTGAATTGCATTTGCATTAAAAAGTAGCACTCTACAATGGATTAAAAGCTGACTGATCTCATGTAGCAGGTGTCAGTGGCAAGTCATCATTCCTGATGCAACTGTAAAGGGATATTTAGCACTTCTGGTGCTATTAAAAATTTCCATGAACTCCATGGATATAAATGCAAAATCTTTGCTGATAAAAATCTTGGATAAAGCAAATGATTGACAGAATATTATATAAGGTTGCAGGCAAGAAAGAAGTTTCAAAAACAATACATATTTAAAGGCAACTGTAAGCAGAGGATGTAGCAAGGAGCAGAGGCTGCAAGCTTTGGTCAGTCAGCTGTGTTTTCTCTTCTATAAATCTGTAAAGATTTACAAATTATCAGAGCCTTAGCTGCAGTGCAGATTTTGTTACTGTCTCTGCTATTTCCAGTAGGTGCTCATTGCTGCAAATCCTCTGAGCATCACAAGTGTTTACTTGGAGTTTTGCCTGGCAGTAGCAGAAAAAATGGGCATAAGTGCTGCTTGACACTAAAATGTTCACCTGTGTCAGGGGTTTCATAGAAAGGCTCCAGCAGGAGGAGGACAGCTTTTGTCTTGCCTTCCTAACAATGCAGCCCTGGGTGTGGCAGTGAGACCTGGTGGCTCCTTGGGACTGATGGATGTGCTGCAAGTCCAGCACTCTGCTTCTCTGGGCATACAGAGCCGTGCTAATAACTGGGATGGGAAAGTACTAACCTCGTTTGAGCCTCTGTGAATTATTTTGTGGCTGGAAAGTGACTGGAAAGTGAGCATTGCTATAAATTTCTTTCTCTTGCCAGCTACTTATGTTCATTCCTTAGATGCAGGCAGGGGGAAAGGGGCCAAAAGGAGTACAGGACATTTGTAAAATAAAGGCAAAAGTGAGGCTACAGTTCTTTAAGAGGTAATAAAAAATTGTCCCTATCTCTACCTGCCCATGTGAAAGGTCCTTTCTACACTTTTTGAAAGCGCCTTTTAATTAGTGGAAGGTGCTATAAGGTCTTCCTGGATCTTTCCCTTCTCCAGGCTGAAGAAACCCAGCTCTCTCAGCCTGTTTTCACAGGAGAGGTGCTCAAGGCCTCAGATTATCTTTATGGCCCTCCTCTGGACCTGCTTTAAAAAGTCCAATATTATAAAATTATATATATTCAATATTGTTATTGTTAGTATTGTTGTTTTTGTTATTGTTGTAATATTGAACATATACAGACCTGCTAGCTCTACCAGTTCTTCTCATTAAACTGATCCCTTGAGCTACCTGTGCCTGTTGTTTACAAGTGTGCAATAACCTATCAATCTGGAAAAAGAAAGCATAAATAAAAGTGATTTCAAAGGTTTGGCAGGAAAGGGGTGGATACATAGACAGTTCTCTGTGGAAAAGCATTTATCTGCAATTGTGTTGACATTAATTGGGAGCATGAGAAATGTCTGACAAAGGCTGGGTATTTTCATGACTTTTTAAAATCTGTGTCTAGGGGTGAATACTCTTCAAAATTTTATTCATTTAACTCCATCTTCTGCTTGAACAAACTCAGGGATGTTTTCCAGAGTAGGAGCTGTCCTTTCTGAAAAGTTTGGGCAGCACCCCAATGTCAGCTGGCCTTTCAGAACTTCCCTTCCAGCCAAGCTGAGAGTGGAAGCACATTCTGTATTTTAAGATTTTTTGTGGATTTCATGCAGATTTATGGACAGGAGAAAGACACAAACCCAGAGTGTTGTCCAACTGATGGAAAGGCTCAGTTCATCTATTCTGTCTTCCTGTCTGGACAGGAAGAAAAAAGAGACTCAAAAGCAGACAGAGTGTACTGAGTCTCTTGTCTATGATGAAGTTAGGCTATAGGGGAGAGGAAGGGTATTTAGGATGTGCAGAGCCTGGGATGGAATTATTGCTGAGGTACAAGTTCTGAACACAGCCCAGAAGATCAGCCTTTGTTAGTTCTGCAGCTTCCAAAATGATGTGTTTCCTTGGGATAATTCTGTACTGGTTCTTTTGCTTTTCAGATGTCCTGTGTCCAAACGTCCACGTGGAAGGAGACCGGTTCAAACACACCAATGGGGGGACTGATGAGATTCCAGGTAAACAGACACACTTTTCTGCTGTCCCTCTGGGAACTGGAATAGTATAACTCTACATTTCTTGTGTGATGCTCTGATTCATTACGCCTTTCCTAGATGGAATTTTCTTATTCCAACACATGTTCAGTGGTGAAGAAGTGTATTAGAAACTGTGAGGCTTCAAATGAGTTAACTGTTGACAGCCAACACCAAATTAATCACAAACTTGGCATCAAATGGCAATCAAAGGGCACCAAACTAGGCATCAAATGGCATCAAATTAAAACGCCAGTGGAGCTTAGTGGAGTAGCTAGAGGAGTGCAATAAGTCTTGGAGATCACTTTTTTCTTACCACTGCACATTTAGTGAGTTTTACTGTCCATTTATTTGATCTGTGATTGTTGTGGAAATCCAAGCACAGTGGTAATTACCACTGGAGAAAGGTTTATGTCTGCATTCATATAAATAAAAGATTTTCTGAAGCACTGGTGAGAGATCAAGGGGAAATACAGTCTGGTGATTTCTGTTTTTCTGTGAGGTCTGATAAATCTTTTCAGCTAGCTGAAGGACTTAATGTCAGACAGTTGTGTGGACTGTGCCTCTTTTCTAGCCTCCCAAGACTGCTTGAGCTGTTGGCAGAGAAAAGATGTCCATCAAGGTTGCATTGGGAATAATTGTGACTGACCCAAGGACATAAGTCACAGCAGTGGGAGGCTGAAGGCTCTTCTGCAGCTTGATTATGAGTAGAAATGCTCAGTGTTTGACAGCTTTGCTACTTGGTATTTTTTTCATTGGAGGATTTTCACTGCCTGCACAAAATATCAGTTTCAACTGTGCTGTCTGTGGGCAGCTTATTTTGGCTGCAGTCTGATTACATCTGAGCCTGTGATAATGTTGGGTGTTAACATATCTTCTGATCATTAGACCAAAGTAGATTATCCCCAAACACCTATTTCGAACTGCTGTCTCTTGCTGTCCTGAAAGTCTTCCTGTCTCTGGGCTGGGAAAAAATTTAGAGCAACTCAGCCCTGTTGATTCTGAATGAACCTATCTGCAGTGGAAGCTGATGCTCAAAATGAGTGGGAGGATTGTGTCCCTTCTCAGATGATCACCTCCTATGTGATTCTTTCCAGAAGAATGGAGCTGCAAGTGGATTGCTATTTCCAGTTCCTGTTTATCTGAATTTTGATTCAAGTGCTAACTAGTAGACTCTATGCTCTAATTAGACTTTTAAAATATATATTTTGTTGAGCAATCTACAGGACAGGAATCCCAATTCAGATGTGGCTCAAAAGTTTTGGGTACATATGGGATGTTTACAAGCCCATATGCAGTAATATTTATATATATATACATGTATGTAGACCGGCTTTTATATTTATATATATATATAGGTTTTTCCTTTTATCTTCAAGTCCCACTTCCCTCCTAGGAAAGAAGTCAATATTCAGCCTGTTAACATAAAAAATGTCTTTGCTGTCTTAGATCTGTATGTTCAGGTTGGAAATCATCTAGTCCAACCTCCCTCTCCAAATAGGGTCTCCTTTGAAATTTGGCCCATTTTAAAGTTAGATCAGATGTGTCAGGAGCTTGTATAATTGAGTTTCCAGTTTCTCCAAAGATGGATACTTCACAGATGCTCTGGGCAACTGTTCCAGTTTGGTCAGTATAGCAGTGATTCTTTTTTTTTTGTTTTTTCCCACTATGTGAGGGAATTCTGTAAGCAGAAATTAATTTTTTTCAACATCTGGTCAAGTTGATCATTCAGGGTTGTCATTTATTTGACCTAAGGGATATCTGTTCACTGTAAATGTTTACAATTGCATTCAGTTACTTAACAACAGTATTTAATTAAAAGTGACAACTTTAGTCTCTCACCAACAATACAGAGGATTGTAGAAGGCTCCTGATTGCTCCAATATGGTGGGAAAATTATTTATTTCTCATCTTGTTACTGGTGATCAGGAAAATGTGTGCCTCTTTCCTGGAAAAAATGGAGCAGATAGTCTGGGTCTGGAGATGGATCATATGAGATCAAAGAGCTGTTCCACTCCTTGTATGCTCCTTATTTACTCCATAGCATTTTCTGAAGACTCCCAGATCCTGGGTCTGATTCCAACAGAAAAACACTATTTTCTTCCAGCTAAACTGGAAGATTTCATTTGGCCCAATGTGCTGTGCTTCCCATTCCAAAGGGATGGGTTGTTCTGAAAGGCTTTTGTGTTCTACCCCAGGGGAGAGCACTTCAGCTCTGAGGCACAGCCTGTGTCCTGCTCCCTCGCACTGGAGAGGGAGGCTCAGCTCTGGGATGTCTGGGGTGACAGCACTGAGGGGGAGTCTGGTCCTCTGCCACCCTCATACGTAACAGGATTTTAAGTTAACACCTGTGCTTTGTGATCCTTGCCCAACAGGCTCCTAACAATGAATTTCAGAGCTATATCTTGCACAAACTTGTTTATATGGGCAGAAAGTGCAGTCTCATGGAGTAGAAGTTGCAGTAAGTCTCATTTTGGGGACAGGGAAAATGGTATTTAAAATCTTAGATTTAACACCTTTTTCTCTCTCAGAGAGGGACAAGACCTCAGAACTGAGGGTCAGAGTGGTAAAAATATTTCTGAGGATTTTTAAAATTTTCTTTTCTTATATTTTTATTTGGTGAAATGCAGGAGCAGAAGGCACAGACAATTGTTTCACACAAGGCATCACTAATTCCAGCCCTTTCTTGTCCACTCTACTTGCACAGAAGTTATATCATGACCTGCTACATTTAGTTCTGTGTCTGCATAAGTGGATGAATCGAGTCACTCTGTATCAGCAGAAGTAAAAATAGAAGCTAAAACATAAAATGAGCTATAAAAGGAGGAACTCTGTGGGATAACAGGAAACAGTGGTTTGGCTGAGGTGGGCTAAGATTCATGGGATTTTGTTAAGTCAGAGGCTGAGAATAGGAGTGAGGGCAGTGAGGGTGGCTCCATGCAGAATCAAATACCTGCATGACAAAACCCCATCGTGATCTGGAGGAGAGCCAATGCTCTAAACTGGTATTTTCCTTTTAAAAGACAGATGATTTCTTTTCTTTAGACTAACAGGACTAAGTAAATCTCATCTATCTGCTTTTGTTGAGTACTGCATTGAAATTCACTGCTAAAGTGAAAAAGGGTAGAGATTAATAAATGTAAAGTGAGCCAGAAACTGCCTGGCAAGGAGACAATCACGATGTTTCTAGGAAAGGGAGTAACAAGTTAGAGTGTAGGCAGTGATGAAGTCCCTCAGGGTCTAGTTTTAGGTCTAATCTCCTCTGTGAGTTTCTACTCTATGGATTGGGATCAATGGCTCCAAAACCCAGGGATTTTTTTCCAACTAATTTGGCCAGTTTAAAAGGCCTGTTTTTGTAAGTATGGATCAATATCAGGAGCATAAACTATGAACTCCTCCTGTGAGAACTGATGAGGTCTGTCAGCAGATGTTTGTATGTCACAGTCCTGTAGAGCTGGGGAAAATGCAAAGGTCATTACTGGAGAAGGTAGAGAAGGGAAGAATTCCTGAAACTGGGCAGGGCTTTTGGTTACTGCTCATCTAGAAAAGTTTGTTCAGACCTCCTAAGCTCAGGAAAGATTGATTCAGCCTTGAGGAGCTCTTAGTGTGTTCAGGAGCCAGAGAGAGGCAATTAAAATCCTGGGTTTGGTTAATCTTGCAGTGTGCAGGTGGAAAGGGGAGATAAATTGCTCTCTGTTAATAGATCAGGAAAACAGCAGGAGGGAGATAGGGGAACCACTCAAGCTGAAGGACAAAGGCAGCAATAGGAAATGATTATCAGCTGTTTTAAGACATACTTTGGAGACATCAGAAGAAGTCTTGAAGCTGTCAGAGATATGAAGCACTGGGACAAGAGGTGAAGTAGTACTAATGGAGACAAACAGTGATGGATAGTCCTGAGTCCTCTCAGAGCAGAGGTTTGTACTCTATGACCCTCTGGTCTCAAAGCATTTAAATAAGAAATCTCCAGCTGTAGTGTTCAGGAAGGGCTGCTACAGTGAAATAGGGTTGCATGAGCAATAAAATATAGGCAGTTTTACTACTGATAAAATTTTGTCAGTGAAGTGAAGCAGCATCTGCTTAAAAGTACATAACATGTGAATTCAGAATATAACACTGAGTGTGTTGCTGAATCCATTAGAAATCAACAGGGAATTTTGAAAGAAGGCAAGGACTCTACTTAGAATATCACTTTATCTTCCAGGAAGTCTGATATTTTAAAATAATTCTTAATAATGGTTTAAACAATGTCCTTAGAGAATTCTTGTGGGCACTGTGTTTCAGTTGGGTTTTTTTAAAGAGAAATAAAGACAAAAGAGGGTTTAATCATCTGCTCCCAAATACTCAAGAACACCTCTTATTATGCTCAATTGTCATTTTCATTCCATCAGCATTTAAGAAAGTGTCATGGCCAAGCCAGACAACTCAATGACAATATTTTGCATCCTGCAGATGTGACCTTTGTGTATTTTTAGGAGCCAGAATATTGCATTGAATCTGCATATGAATGTTATTTAAAATTAATTATATTTCCTGAGGTTTTAAGACTTCACATTTGAATTATTTGTATTTTAGACTAGATCTGCTGGACATGGGATTTAGCTGCAGAAATCTGGATGATCCCTAGAATTAAGAGTGAGCTGAGCTCTAGTCCTGAACATTACCAGAGGAGATAATACTGGCTGCTGCTTTCAGGGAATTGTGCCATGGAAGTAAAGAAAGGCCTGATGTGATTTCCACAGGGTGCTAAGAAAAATAAACCCTGGGGAAGGACAATTGCAACCAGCACATGACATCAAACATCCCACACTGGATGGTGTTAACGGGGCAAGGGAGGAACATGAAAGCCCTGACTTTAACTCCTAAGCAGTTGTACAGGTTGTGTGTGTGAACAACAGCATAAACTTCATCATGGGCTGTACCACAGACTGACCTCAGCATCCAGCTCTCTACCCTGTCTCCAAAACCTCCATGTGAAAATGACC